AATGGCTCCAAGAAAGCAGCAAACAGTGACTCTGAAAATCAATACAATAACGATATTTTAAATCTTGACCAGCATCAGCATGTTGCAGCAAAGGAAACCTCATAAGATGTTCCCAAACTTGGCAAATATCCTTTGGGCGTGATTGTTGCTCCCCAATCTGTACAAAGTTTAGATGGTTGCTTTCATCTAAGAGAGGGTTAATACTTGGAATCTCAGGAAGTGGGCCTTTTGAATGGCATGGCTCCAAGGTTGTCTACTATGGTGGTTGCTTTGACAGAAGCATTAAGAGTCCGTTTGGTTTGCGGGAATAGGGGTCATGAATCGGAGTCAGCCTTTTCGATTCTAACTGTTTGGGTGGGAGGAATCAGAATCTCATTCCCATTTCTGTTGGATGGCGTTCTCCCATTTGAGGGAATGGCCATTCTCTCCCCTCAGGAATGAAATCTCATTTCAACTTATTCCTATTCCGATTTTGATTCCTGTTTGAACCAAACGGACTATGGAAATAGAGTCAGAATGATCATTTCTGGTTCCAACTATTTGGGTGGAGGGAATCGAGAGGGAATGGCCATTCTCCCATTTGAGGGAATGGCCATTCTCTACCCTTCCCTTGGGAATGAAATCTCATTCAAACTTATTCCAATTCTGATTTYGGTTCTTGTCTGAACCAAACATGTTATAGGATAGAGTTAGAATAATCCCATGGTTCAAAAGTTCGCAACGTATCTTGGGCCAATAGGTATCGTATCTTTAAGGGGCCNATCTTTAAGGGGCCAACACGGGAAATGCTACAAATCATTTGTATCGTGTCTTTTCATTGTGCCAAACCTGTATTGTGACCATATCGGGGCATATCGAACCTGTATCAGGGTGTATTGGCTGATACATTATGATTTCATGTAAGCAAAAAACAAATTTAAAATGTTTGAGAAAAAAAAAAAAAAGACTTATAGCTATTTCCAAAAGCCTTCTTTCTCTCCCAAATTCAACAAATCATCCTTGCACATTCTTGGATTGTAAAATCTTAAAAACAAGTACCCCAAAAACAACCTCCAAAACTCAAGATTTTTTAAGTTTTTTTCAACTTTTTACAAAAAAGTGCAAAATAAATATATTTTTTTCAATTTACTTGATAGTATGTTAAAATATTTTGTGTATTTTTAATGCTTATATATATTTATATATATACACTCTCCTTATGTTGAAAATCCTATATTTTTTGTGCTTTAAATAGATCTATTTAATTTTTGAAGAAATTTAGGAAAAATATAAAATAACAACAAAAAAACATTATATTTTTGGTGTAATATGCCCATGAAGAATAATTGTGTCATAGATCTATGGGTGATCTACCATATCCATAGATCTATTGAATTTTCTAAAATATTAATTTTTTTAATAAAAATATTTATTGTTTCATTACTAAAAATGAAAAAATGTTTATTTTTAAAAATTTTTGTACTTTTAGAATAAAAATATTTCATTCTATTTTTTAATTCATATATTTTTTGATTTTTTTTGCAAAAAAWTTGTTTTCTAATTTTTGGTGTAATCTAACCATAATATTCACCTTGTTGTAAACCTATGGATGATCTATCACATCCTTAAAAATTATTTTTGTTACATTTTACTTTTTAATTTTTGTTATAATTTTGTAATAAAAAATAATATACTTGTTTGTGAAGGGAAGGAGATCCATCATATGGATGGCCGAACCATGTAGGGTGGATGGGCAAATTTTCAAAAACTTCTTTCTCCCTTTTGGGAATCTTATTCCCTAATTTAGAAAAAACTGCATTTTTCAAGGTTCATTCTTAAAACAAACCGGACCAAATCTGAAACTAAGATTAAGGGAGGGATATACCTGATACGGAATCCACGCAAGTAGCTCCCAATGTAGGTGTTCATGCCCACCAAATCCCACCTCCACTGAAGATGACACAACTTAGGATGAGGTAGGATCAGCAAAGCAATTCTTCAGCAAGAATTGCAATCCTTCAGCAAGGATCACGTAGGGGATGTGAGCACAACTTCAGATCTGATTCTTCTGGCAATAATCAATCTAAGACAATGGAGATCGAATTGGGTAGGGCGGCAAGAATAGAGATAAGATATAAGATTTGCAAAAAGTGTTTAACAAAAGGATTTAGCCCTCTATTTATAACCTCTCTGGATCAGCTTCCTAATCCTATCAAGAAAGGGTTCTTTGATACAAATCTTTATTTGGATCAGAACTCTTAAGTGGATAAGACATATCTTATCCTCTTGATGATCTAGAAGCAGATCTAATATCAAATTCGCCCATAATTAATTAATCTAATTAGCCCAATTCGAATTGGGATTTAGGCCCATTAAGTCATCAGGCTCACTTCCCTTTTAATTCGTTGGCTAACTTGGCTCTCTTTGTATGGCGTGGGACCCTAACATTGATCTCCACAAAAGACATATGGGTTCAACCTAACATCTGTTACAAGGCCTGGTCGAATTCACTACTAAACACAGTGAACCCCTAAGCCCATCAGTATGGGCTCTTAGCAGGCCCAACATTTACACTAAATGGTCCTTGGGTCCAGCCACCTTATGAAGGCCCAAGGACTATGGACTTAAGTGAGATTAGCCCTAAATGGTCTTACACTTAACCTCTCAGCCCATAATGATCAAACACTACCCAACAAGAGATGACCTCTCCCTCGGCTACAAGGTGTAGTGTTGCACTCTCTGCTCACATGGATTCCGGGAATTAAAACATTTTGCAAACAATTTGTGAAACCATAATATATATGTATATATCTCTATATAAATATATTTTGCAAAAYAAATCTCAACAAGTTTGAAATCAACTACCGGCAGTTTAGGTTTCCATCAGAGAGAGTGCATTCCCCAATCATTCACTTTGTCCGACAAAGGGGCTGATTCTGTTAGTACAATCACCCACTCAGGTGAACTCTCAGACTGCCCCAACATACCCAGGTTTTGACCCCCGCTAAGGATCTCACTGATTGGCATATCAAAGACAACTCAATCCAACACCTAGTGCAGTACCATAATCGAGTCTAAGGGTTAGGTGTAACTTTCTAATTTTGCACATTTATCTCCAAGATCTAGGGCATAACTGGAAAATGGTCCRGTTCAGGGTTTCAAGCAAACCTACACTACATGTACTTCAGGTCTCACCCTGACAGCTGAGACAAGCCACCCCAACCGACTTGACAGCACATTAGTGTCAGGCTTGGCAGGTTAAACCTCCCTAGGTCTATCCAACGGCTATGAAAATTCTAAACTAACATAAGTCTCATAAGTGTCTAATTTAAAGGTACTAYATAGAAACACACCATAGATAATATGAATCAATTATGTACTTTATTCATTTACAATAAATGTCAAAATGTACATCAATCTAATTGGAGCTAAGGGCATATACTGTCTTACAGTTTGAATAAGAAATAAATATGTTTAAAAACTTATAAAAAGTGTTTCGTTAAATAATTATTAAGCTTATATTTTATAGTTATAACATTACTAGAGAATACCCTTATGTTTCTGTATGTTGATCATATATATATATAATGTTATTGATGCATATTTACGACTCATTGGAATATTTATAGTGTTTCCATGTGTTTTCATGCATATCTTAATTTTTCGTTTGTATCCATGCATATCCAAGATATATATCTCAATACGTCTCTTAAATTTGTCTTTCTGATACATTTAGTATTTTTGATACTTTGAACTTTGAATAATGCTTTCCTATTCCAACTGTTTGAGTGGGGGAATTGGAATCTCATTCCCATTCCTGTATGAATGTTTGGGGGAATGAAATCTCATTCATTCTCATTCCAGCTGATTCCGATTTCGATTCYTATTTGAATCAAACAAACTATAGGAATTTGATAATTTTAATTTCAATTCCAAGAGATTTTGATTCTGATTCCAATTCCAATTGCAAAACAAATAGATCCTAAGAATTCATTGGAAAGTGGGCATCAATGCTCTGTGCAACAATTATTTGAATGATTGATCATCATCGTTACATCTGAGCCTTATACAATAATTATATGGGCTTAGTTACATGAATCCTGTACCACCATTTCGTTTAACGCTATATCCATTGTCAACGAATGAGTTTTCAATTATTTTTTATTACTTTGGGCTCATGTCTTATTTTGTTCTATACTTCAAACTTTTCTACTCCTTTCAACTCGTCAAATTACTTCTGATTACGAGTGCTATAGGTGATGTATGCAGGTGAAATTGAATTTGAAAGTTAACATAATAATCGTGTTTCAGGCATGGATTAGCCAGCTGAGTGTTTGGAGAGATGGCGGTGGTTAAAATCGAAAGTTTACATAATCTTGTGTGTCGACAGCTTACCTAGTAGYCAAGCCTAAAAGGGCTGCCATTATGTCATGGGACTAGTCGTTGGGGCCTTATGCGGCACTCGAATGTGACAAATAAATCTAAACAATAAGCAATAACATAAGAAAAGGCAACAAGATGACACACGAATTAGTCAAAAGGTTATTTGTATTATATTAATGGATGACAAGTACAAGTAAAGTATCGAGGGAATCTCATACTTAACTTTTACACGCTCTTGATTCACTCAATGACACAAAGAAACATCAAAATAGTGAAAAATCATATTACGAAATTACAATATTAACATTAACATTCCCCCATACAAAATACATACAATACCCCACTCAAGACACACACTTGGACACTTGAATGGCGACTACAGGCACAATGAATGGCACTTGATGGCGTGACAAAAAATACACTTGTGACAATTAGGCCCGTTACCATCTTAGTGGCCAAATTTACACAATATCTTTACACGATGGACAAGGCTTGTGTTGTAGTCAATGAGCCGAACAGAATAGAGTGGACCAAATGAAATTTCTTTCATTAAGGCTGAGTGTCTCCTTCCCTTTATCTCCTATTACATTCCGGTACAAGAAGTCATGGAATTCAAACACTAAAAATACTAATTCACATAAGAAGTTAATGCCACCAAATTTCATTTATGTAATTTTACTTGCCTCATTGAATAAATTTCAACTATATTGTAGCAATATATGTGAATCTTTGACATCAAAATGTATAGGCACCGTGAGCAGTCATACATTACAACACAGGCACCTACGCTTCCCAAAGCGTTAGCAAGGCAAAACTAAAGTTCATATTCTCTTTATTTGAATATATGAGACTGAAAATGCTTCCCTCATTCAGATTTCTTATAAAATACATCCTATGTTGACTGTCGTGTGCCTCCATGTCTCTCCCATCACTGAGCTTTCAAACTTCTCAGTAGTTCCCATCTAACATGAAAGGAAAAAAGGATTAAAAACATTATGCTGTGAAGGCAATTAAATAACTTCATGGCTTGTCTGAAACTACTGAAGCCATAAGTTTGTGGTTGTTTGAATTTGAATGATGATCGCCCATGGCTTGCTTCTTTTGAGCTTTCCCTAGCAAAGATCATTCATCCATCGTCAATGCTACGGAGCAGATGTGAACAGCAGGGATGCATTTGTCCCACCAAAACCAAAGGAGTTTGACAGAGCTGCTCTAATCAGCATCTCCTTTGACACAGTTAAAGGCATGAAACCATCACGAAAGATGGGATCAGGATGACTGAGATTGAGTGTCAACGGTACAATCCCCTGCAACAAGATGCCACAAAAGCTAATACGAGATGAGCAACCATTTTGGAACATGCAGGAGGATTCACTTGCAAGCTTATAAAGACAACAATAATTACAATTAGAAAAAGAATTATTTGCACAATTAACTGGAGTTGAGTTGAGCAGGAGAAATGCAAACTCATGAAGACAACAACAATTGCAACTTGCAATAATGAATTGTGCAATTCTAAATAACAAAGGGTACACGTATGCATGCTCAAAGTATGTCTTGTGTGTGGGGGAGGGATTGGAAATAAAATCTTAGAACTCAGGTGGGAGCAAACTACTGGAGTGTCAAATGACAAATCTGCTATTAGAGTTTAGTGAAAACTGTAAAATTTGAGCAACTTGCAATGTGACCAAAGAAAACTTATGTTTCATGCAAGTTCAACATTCAATATTAAAACTTTTTAATAGCCAATGTGAAGAACACTAATAAAGGTGGGGTATAGGGCTAATGTGAAATGGAGGATTGAACAGGTGGTCCAGAAGATACCCTACTAGGTGGATGGCTCATATAAGCCACATCATCCCTCCATGTGGTAAAAAAATGCTAGGTTGTGTAGGGAAGATCCCTACATTAAATACAAGGACCACAACAAAGGTAATCAGTGATTTGTTTTTTTGATGTTTATTCTTGAGCATTTAGCATTAAATAGAAAGGAATGATGAAACAGGATTCATGTAGCCAACTCCCCTGTATAAGGGCTTGGATAATGATGATTCTTCAGCATTATTGGTAATTTTAATGTGAAATGTGATGTGTGAAGCATAGTGTACATTCGCAAACGGGATGAGAGAGGTTGATTTTGGGGGTAGGTGGAAAATGATGGTATTCACTGTGGACAGGGATTCCATGAGTGTGTAAAGGAAGAGCAGTAGCATGTGGGCAGGTGTGCAGCATTTGTATTAGGAAAAGAAACAGGTAAGGGAGAAAAAGGTTGGAATCTATTGGACATTTCTGAATCACAAGTCAAAAATTTGTTAATCACAGTTTAATGATGTTACTGATTCAAACTTGAATCAGTGCAAGAGGCATATCAGTTACATGGAAGTGGATCTCCATGGTTGTGAGCAGTAGGATCCAGACATCCTATGTAGAAAACCCACGTGAATGACCAAGTGCAAGAGGCATATCAGTTACATATGTGGAATACAATAAGGTGGCGCTCGATAAATCTGAAGTCTGAAGTCTGAAAGGCAAAAAACCTCTAAAAAAGCTCTGAAAGCATTCAGTTGATGACCAAGTGCAAGAGGCATATCAGACATCTGAATACAGTGGATTTGTTAGGTAATCTGAATGCTTTCTGAAAAAGTTATATTTTACAAATTTACCCCTCAAATTATTTAAAAAAAGTAAACGAAAATGATTAAAGTAAAATGATATAATAAAAAATAGTATAAAAATAATAAAAATAAAAATATGATAAAAATCAATAAATAATATTAATAAAATAAAAAACAATGTTAAAAATGATAAAATAGTAAAATTTATTATAAAGTATAATAAAAATGTATAAAAAGAAAATAATAATGGTAATAAAAAATTAAACATATAAAAAGATCATTTAATAATAATAATAAATAATAAATAATATAAAATATAATAGAGAGATTTGCAAATAGTAAAATAATGTAAAAAAGATAAAATAGTAAAAAATTATAAATATAATAGTAAAACTTATTATAAATATACTAAATAATAAAAATAATATAAAATAAATAATGTAAAATAAATAATATTAAGATAGGAGATCATTTTGGATTTTTCAAAAGTTTAAAAGGGTATCACTAGAATTCAATTTCCGTGCACTACCTCCGCATCTGCTCAGAGGTAGCTTAATGTCTGAAATATTCAAAGGGCTTTTTGGTGTTCAGTGGCTCCGTTAAGATGCACAACCAAACTACCACCAAACACTGGAAACCAAAATTTTCAGTGTTTGGTGGTCAATTCGGCATTACTGAACGTCACCTAAGTGGACTTTATTTGGAGATTGGAGTTTGCTTCATGGTTTTGTTGCTGCTTTCTGTTGACAGTTATAGAACGAGCTTTATGAGCCCAGTTTATGTTCTTTTTATCAGTAGTTATGTTGTTTTGTTTAGTTATTGGGCCTAAGACCACTTGATTGTTGTTTTTATTTCTTTTAGTTTGCAGTCCCTTTAGTTATAGCCACCCTATTAAGGGCTGCATGGTCTTTGTACCTTTTAGTTTTTTTTTTTTTATCAATAACAGAGTTTCATTAATTTAGAGGAAAATTACACAACAGAGGAGAGGTAACCTTTCTTAACTCTCCTCACCAATTTATACAAATTATAATTGTGCCCAAAGCAGTTGATTTCTTCCCACCCCTTGTTTTGCTAGAACATCAGAAAAAACATTAGCAGTTCTTTTAACCCAACTGAACTTCACCTCCATATTTTGACTTTTTGAGTTTCTTCTTCTCATCACTGAAGATCCAGAAACCACTTCCCTCCTTTTGCAGCCAATCCATTATCAGCTTTGAATCACCTTTTATAATCAGCTTTCTCACATTCATATCCTTTGCCTTTTGCACTCCTTCCATGACAGCCAGAATTGTCTCCCACACCAATTGGACCTGAGAATAAACCAAAACCTCTGCCTTCCTTACTCCTAAACACACCACCAATACCAGAAGGACCTGGGTTAACTGCACTACTCCCTTCAAAATTGAACTTGATATAATTATTAGCTGGTGGAGACCGTAAAGACCTTACATTGGCGTGATGACCTGAGAACTTTTTGCCTCTCCTCACCTGAGAACTTTTTACCTTTTTAGTTTAATATAAATGATAAGAGAGGAGGTGGCTAGAGAACTTTTTGCCTCTCCCCTCACTATTCTCTCATTCTTTCTCTTTTCTTCCTCTTCTTTTTTCTTCTTCTCCACAAGAACACTGCCACTCCTCTCAACATTAATTTGTCTACCATGTGACAGTTTTGATGTACAACAGCCCAGGCCTAAAAAGAAATTTTTGAGGACTAATGATTGCCATATTATGGAACTGGGGAAAGAGGAGACTTGCTGTGTTGGAGGATATCAATTGATTGAAAAAAGATTTAGCAGTAAACTGCCTTGATGAGTTCTTCACTTCCAGATTTTAATATCTTCTTGATCTAGCTTAGGTTCTACGGCCTGGATCTACTGCATGAGCTCCAACAAGGGTCCAATTTCCCAACCATTTAAAGGTCTTCTGAAACCTTGTATCCAGACAAATATGTTGTCATGCACATAACAGCAATCACTCTCTGTAGTTTGTCATGCACTTAAGTTGAGGGCATTTTGTTCAAATTGGGTGTTAGGATGTCACTTTGCTTTGAGGCAGCTATATAAGCCTCATATTTGCTTGTGGAGGCATCTTATATTGTATTTCAAGCCCTAAACACAGATATCCTCCATTGGAGTAGCTGCTTTAACCTTTATTTGGGGATTTTCTTGTTCCATCTTCAATTTGTGCTCTCTCTTGAGATTTTTCATGTGGTTCTTGTTTCTTCTAGCTTGACCTCCTTGCTGCATCACAAGGTGAACAACAAGAATAAGGATTTTTTGTGTGTGTGTGGCTGGGGGATCTATTTTTCCTTCAAATATTTATCCATTGAGAGATTATCTTTTATTTGATCCATTGCTCTCTTGGAACCCAAGAAAATCCCAAATCAGGCTGAATTGTCACTGACCAATAATACCATGTCTAACTCTCACCAAATCCTTCATGAAGTTAACAACACGAAAGCATTTTTGTTCTGAAAATAATGGCCAAATGAACCAAGAAAAAGCATGGACCATGAGATCAAAAACAAAAGGCAGATCCACCATGCTACAGTACTTTAGAACTCCCCCCATAATGGCTTTATAGACAAAGAATGGTTTTTAATTTAAGCAGTGAACACTTGAGGGAATATCCTTACRTGATATATAGCTAGCACTGCAAAGATTGCTTCCACTGCTCCTGCTGCTCCAAGAAGATGACCAGTAGCACCCTGAATTAAAACCAACTTATGATTATAATTTTTTACAAGGACGAAATATTTGTATTAACTGAACTTCCAAAGCCCATTTGTGTGTGTGTGTGTGTGTGTGTGTGTGAGAGAGAGAGAGAGAGAGAGAGAGAGAGAGAGATTCTGAATAGCATTGGAGAAAGATATGCAACCCATATCAAATTTTTGAATCATGGTAATTTTCTTCCAATTATTGCAAAAGTTTTTTTTCTATTTGAAGCAACAAATTCCCCAAGGATAGACATCAAAAATATATATCAACTTCTCAATCTTTTTTTTATGAATAATAAAGCATTTCATTAAAAATATTTTAAGATGGGTTTACAACTGATGCAGCATTTAGTTTTCCCTCCATTCAAAATCATCATATAGGATAAGGACATTGATTTAAAAGGCACACCTAGGTGCACAGGCAAGGCACATTTTAGGCTATGTGCCTTACCTAGGTCCCAGGCACACCACATTCAGAAGGCACATGCCTGATGCACCTTGTGGTTCAGCCAAAGTAACACCTTTTGAAAATTTGGGCATTTCTGTTTTTTTATGCCCATCATCTTGGCCTCCACCCCTAGACCCTCAAGGCAATCCCAAGCATGTCCATATTAGGGTCTTAAATTCTTAATCCCTATAAAAAGGTCCATATTATGCCTCTAAAAACCCCCTACTTGTTAACATTGCTCATTCACTCATCCTAATGAAAGATATTTTAAAAGATGATCCCTTGTGCCTACGACCCCTCTTCCTCCCAGTTCAGATCATCCCACAACTGCTCCTGTAAGTGATACTTCTCTTTTAGGATACTATTCGTATTTCAGATACCACTCTTAATGTTCCTCTTCATTAGTCTATTTGTATCTCTAGACCTCCTAACCGCTATGGTTTCACTTCCAACCATATCTCTTTCTCTGCTATTTCATCCTTCACAGATATTCCTTGTTCTTACTAACAAGCCGTCAAAAGTTGTCATTAGAGGGAAGCCATGGATGTCGAGATCAATGCCCTTTATGAAAATGATACTTGGGACCTTATACTTGCTCCTCCAAATGCTTCCATTGTTGGGAGCCATTGGGTTTACACTATCAAGCTAAAATCAAATGAATCTCTTGATTGGTAAAAGGCCCATTTAGTTACCTAGGGATATATAATCAAGAGTATGGCACCAATTATGAAGAAACATTTGCCCCAATTGCTAAGGCCACAACCATCCATGTTCTCTTAGCCTTGCCTATTGTTCAATCTTGGATCATTTATCAACTAGATGTGAAGAATGCACTAGATGAAAACATTGGATGACTTCCAAATCTTTCACTGAATGATATTTTGAGAACCTAGAAAGAGGTGACCTCTGAATGATATTTTGAGAACCTAGAAAGAGGTGACCTTCTCAACCCAAGTAAGGAAAAGGCCAATTATGGATTGGAAGGCCCCAACCCCAATTTATGGTCAACCCAAACCCAACCCTAAAATTTGGGCTTAAGGCCCAAGCCTGAACCAAGCCCAAGGTCAAGCCTAATCTTCCCAACCCGAGCCTAGCCCATATTGTAATTTGAAGCACTAGGGTTGGGCTCGGGTTGGTCAATGAACYCGCTCTAAAATCATACATGTATGTATACATTTTATGCAAATATGTATATATGTAAATATGTATTTATATATGTAAATACATATCTATATATGTATGTTTATAATAGGGTCGGTTTTGGGCAACCTAAGGGCTAGGCCGAAAAATAAAAAAATCCTGAATTCTTGGGTCCGAGCCCAGCCCATGTAAAATTTCGGGTTGGGTCCGTTCAAGCTCAGATTGGACCCACCCAAGTTGCACCCCTATTCTCAGGTAGTCATCTCTTGGACTAGATTCAGTACCTAGATTCCTTGGGTCTTCCAAAACAAATTTAGGGAGATTGAAAGCTTAATAAGGGAACTAAATGTCTCTTTCAAGTGGGTGAGAAGAATAGCAAATGGAATGACTCTTTAGCCAAACAAGGAGTTGTAAGACATACTATCGGGGGTGTGGGGTAGGAGATTCACATGCATCCTAAAAAGGAGCTGCAAGACATCAAATATTTTGGGAAAATTTTTATGTTTTGTTGTTTGGGGTGGAAGTTACACTCAACCTCTTGTAATTTGTATAAGTTTGATTCAATAAAGTTTTTTCTTGCTAATAGAAAAATGCCTTCATGGCCAGTTGAAGGAGACAGTCTACATGAAACCTCCTCCTGGATATTGCAATGATTCCTCTCTAGTCTTCGCCTAAAAAAATCCCTATATGAATTGAAATAGGATCCTCGGGTAGGGTTTAAATGTTTTCAAGATGTTGTTGCTACTGAATATAACCGAAGTTCCTCTTATCACTTGTTGGTTCGGCTGTTATTAGTGTTTAAGTTAGTCTTATAAGTTAGTCTTATTTGTGTCTTATGTTCTTAGTTATTGGGCCCAAACATSTTTAATGTTTTAATTGTTTTATTTGTCTAGGTGTCCCATCACTAATCAGGGGCATTCTAGTCTGTTCATGTAATTATTTTATAATCATTTATATAAACTTGTTGGGCTGGCTGAAGAGTACGTGCCGCCTCTCTCAGATCCTCTTCTCTTCTTCTTCTTCTCTCTCTTCTTCGACTGTTGTAATCCAGCAAACATGGTATCAGAGCAAGGTTCATTTGTCTGATTACAGCCGCAACCTTTTGACCCTTCTTTTTTCCTTTCTCTTCCCTTTCCTTTTTCTGTCTTGGTCACTGTGAAGAAACCCTAGGGCTGACTGTAGAGCACAGCAAGGTCTGTATCTAGGGTCCCTTGGTTGTAGGGCCCAAGGGGAGTTTGTTCCAGAGATCGATGCCCTACTAGACACCTTACAGCAGGTAGTAGCCATTCGGCTGCTAAGAGAGGTCTGTGTGGAACAGATCCAGGTGGAAGGGCTGACTTCGACAGTCCTAGTTCGGTTCGTACAGTTGGTCACARTCTACTATAGCAGAAATCAAAGTCCAGTCCAGTCCAGAAGAGTTCAGCACTATACGGAAGTGGAGTGTTGTTGGTTTTAGTTCTGTTACAWGGGTTTTTTCAGGCCTGCAACAGCTTTGGCAAGTCTGAAATTGTGCTCTTTGTACTGAGTTTTTCAATTGTGATCACTGTAAGAGGAAGGAGATGTCTTCAATATCGGGAGAAGTGTCTTCTAGGGATAATAGACCTGGTGGGAGGTCTCCTAATCTGGAAAATCCAAATCTGCACAGCTTGCAGATCACTAGTGTGCTGTTAGATGAATATAATTTCAAAGAATGGTAGGGAAACACTGTTAATAGCAAAGAGGAAAGCACGGAAAGAGGGTGAAACATTCTCATAGGATAAGGAAAGARCCATTAGGTGGTGTGTGGTGCATGATCTAACACCCTTCCTCTTAGCAATAGGAAGATCCAGATCACAATTATAAGTATCAATATCAATGGGTTCAGGGACATTAACTGGAACAATAATACCTAGATGCAGTGATGGATTCAACCCCTGAGAGTTCGATGGCATAGGTTGCACAGCTTCAGGATGCTCTGTGTCTATTGAACTTTGGGATCTAGCTTACCACGGGTAGGAGACAAATCATGGACAAAAGACTTACACCCAAAGACACGCATAGGAATAGGAAACAACGGAGTTGTAGGAAAGATGAGTTGATGAGGGGACTTGTACTCCAAGAGACGAGATGGCATCCGATTGATAAGATAAGCCGCAGTCATAATAGCATCCACCCAAAACCTTTTGGGAACATTCATTCATGTGTATCAGCAACCCCCGAGCAACTTCTAGAAGATGATGATTCTTTCTCTCTGCAACCCCATTTTGTTGAGGGGTTCTAGCACAAGAACTATGAGGAATAAAGCCACAAGTTTCAAAAAATTCTGTGAGGTCACCATGAAAATACTCTTTGGCATTGTCTGATTGGAAAATTTGAATCTCTGTTTGAAATTGTGTATACCATACGTTGGAAGGCTTTCATAAGTTTAGGAACTTTGTCTCAATAGTGCATAGGGTACACCCACGTATATCGAGAGAAGTCGTCAATGAAAGATATGAAGTATCTGTAGCCATTCTCCGTTGAAATATTTACAGGTCCCCAAACATCAAAATAYGCAATGGAAAAAGAAACATTTGATCTTTTATTACGCAAAGAAAATGAAGTTCTACAATGTTTGCTTAGCTGACACACTTTACACTGAAAATCATTAACTGACATAACTTAAAAAATTCTGGAAACAAGCACTTTAAAGACTCAAAGGACAGATGACCCAAACGATTGTGCCACAAAGTAACCTGACTCTTATTTGAGTGACTCAAAGACTGCCGCAAGACCAACTTTATTCTCCAATACCAGTGTTTTAAAAGCACAAGGAGCAAAAAAGGCACAAGGGCCACTTTGCACCTAAGGCGCAAGGCAAGGCACGTGCCTTTTTAAGAAAGGCACAAAATTACAAAAAAAAAATCTAAAAAATAAAAATAAAAATCAGAAAATTCAAAAAAATGCCAAAAAAATTTAAAAAATCAAAAAATATTAAACATAATGTTAATAAAAAATAAACATAAATTTTAAAATAAATGTTTTAAAAACCAATTATCTGAAATTAAAATACATAAACATAACATGTAAAGCAAATGAAAAATAAAAGCGTATTCAAATGAAAATTAAAAAATAAAAGCAAACATATAAAGCATTTTCGAGCATGTAAAACCCACAATCTCTTTTTTTCCTTAATTGCATTGCTTCAAGTAGCTAATGTGATCCAAAACATATTGCATTCTTGATTCTATGAGTTGCCTTTGTACCACGCCCCTCAAGGCAAGCCYGAACTAGTGAGAACCCCCTATTTGCTAATGTTGTTCATTCATTCATTCCAATAAAATATCCTCTTAAAAGGCAATTAAAGTTATAAAATCATTATTTTTATGTGAGAAATAAGAACTTCAAACCCTAACATATGACTTTGTTTGGGCTTGCCTCGAGGGGTGTGGTCGGGGGTCCAGAGGCGGAGCCCYTGGCCCAGCCATTAGACTCAAAAAAAGGTAAAAAGCGCAAAATCAGCCCAGCCATTAGACTCAAAAAAAAAGGTAAAAAGTGCAAAATTTTAAAAAGGTGCACGCCTGGGCTAAGGTGCAAGGCACATCAGGCGCACGCCTAGGGGCACCAGGCGTGCGCCTTTTGAAAGGGGTGCAACTAGGACTTGGGCGAGGCGCATACCCCAAAATGTGCCTCGCCTGTGTGCCTTGGCATGCCTGAGGCGCGCCTTTTAAATCACTGTCCAGCACATAGAGACCATTCACCATGTTCCCTTTACCAATCGTCCTCCCGGAGGCCAAATCCTGAAAGACACAAGATTAAGGAAAAAATGTTACTAAGCAGTTCAAAGAGTGTATAATGCTGCTAATAGATAGCAAATTAATAGGTAGTTTTGGAACATGTAAAACATTTGATAGAGGTAATCCAAATGGCAAAGATATAGATCTTCGACCAGCAATGGAAGAGAAGGATCCATCAGCTAACCTCACTTTATCTTTGCCAGAAAAAAGGGTGTATGATTAGAAAAAGGTTGACTTACCAGTCATGTGATTGGAAGCACCAGAATCAATAATCCATGGAGATTCGGAGTATCAGTAGACACATGGAATGCAAAAGCTAAGTTACCTGGGGAAGAAGCAAAAGAGGTTGAAGGAATAGGTCCAGAATCTGCTTGTGTGAGAACCCTATAGTGCCCCAAATGGTCACGAAAGGCAATGATAATATTTTCCTTGAGATCAAACCTAGGGGAGGGGGGAAATCCTGAGAGTTCACAATAGTTCCTCCACTTTGCAACTCATGAGAGGCCAAGTTAGCCGAGGTGAACCTCTTCTCATTTGATTTCTTGTTCTGTTCTTGTGCTGATTTCTTATCTAGGTCTTGTGCCCACTTTGACTTGCCATGCAATTCCCAACATGTCGTCCATGTGTGTCGGGATTTCTGACAATGAGTGCACCACAGTTTATCCTTATCATCAACCCTTTTCTAACCGTCTCCCTTTCTTGCTGAATTGGTATTACCTCTTGCAGCTAAAGCAATGGTCTTCCCCTTGGGGGATTCATGGCAGATTTTCTACTTTCCTCRGATTGAACCAGTGCATACACCTCTTGGACAGAAGGAAGATCCTTACTACCCAAAATTTGAACTCGAATGGGTTCATATATGGGATTAAGCCCTAACAAAAAAGTAAACACCCACTACAGTGACACTAACTGTTTGTAGGCTTTGGCATCCTTTTCACTCTCCCAGTCAATGTTCTTATGGTAATCTAACTCTTTCCAGATAGATGTGAGGGCAGAGTAGTAGGTGGATAAGCTTCTTTCCCCTTGTTTACATGTTGCAGACTCGACTTGCAATTGATAGATTCTAGCATAGTGTCTCTACTCGGAGTAAGTTGACCTTGCTTGTTCCCATATTTTCTTGGCTGTCTCAGCCCACATAAAGTTTTGTTTAACTGATGATAGCATAGTAGTCAAATACCATGACACAATCATGCAGTTTTCCTGGTCCCACTTATCATATTCAGCAGTACCAGTCCTAGGTTCCTTCACTTTCCCATTGATATACACTGCCTTACCCTGGGCTGTGATGTACGGCCACATCTCCTTAGACCATGTCAAATAATTTCTGCCATCTAAGGGAGTAATGGTTGTTGGAAAACTCATAGAGTCAAGACTGTTGTTCATTCTTCCTTGGTTGAAAGAAGTTCCAGAGGTTGCAGAGAGTCTTCAGAAGCCATAACAAAGGCTGCTATCGGAAGTTTCAGACCTACAACCCTTCTCCTGCGATCCACACACTCACAAACACACAACCCTCAATGTAAGGTTTAAAATCAAATTGCAGTCACAGTAACACAGCACCTGCTGTCACAGATTTACAGGTCTAACTCATCTCACAAGGGCTAGTTTAAGCCACACATAGCATCTACAATTCTGCCGATGTATTTCTCCATCTGAACCAGGTCACACATGACCTATACAGGTTCTTCACCCACACAGTTTTGGATCACCAACCCACAAGAAGTTATTAAACAAGCCTACACCATTCGGCTAGGGCAGATTTTAGGATGTTCTTGGTAACAATACCAAGAACCAATGAAAAAAAAAACACTTCAGTCTAGGTTCCTGATCAGTTCGACTGACTTTTGGAAGTTACAGTCCAGAGAAGAATGGGAGAGAAGAAGAAAAACAACCACCGACCTCTATAAAAGCTCGGTCAATCATCTGCCGATCTTTGAGAGAGATTTTCTTTTCAGTTTCTGTTTAAAAAAGGATAGAATAGGGTCCACCAACAATTCTCAGTGCAAGGTCGAACTTGTTTTCCCCATTCTCAGTCCAGGTATGATTAGTAAGACCTTTGATCAGATAAGATGCCTTTTACAGAGCGCTGTCCTGCTCTGATACCATGATTTCGATAAAGAGTGAAGTAGAGAAGAAGAAGAAGAAGAAGAAGAAGAAGAAGAAGAAGAAGAGAGAATAGAGAAGAAGATTGAGACCAAAAAGTGTGGCTGGTGGCGCCAGTCTTTGTATTTAAATGATAGGGCAACAATATAAAAAAATAAAAACATGAAAAGACAAAAGTGCCCTTGCGGCACATAACCAAGATTACATCACATGGCTCAATCAGTTAGCTACGCTGACTTTGCCTCTTCCTAAAATACTGCCTGACAGTGGATTTGACCTGAGGGTTAGGGTCATGGATCTCCACAATAATAGCTTCTTTCCTGATTGGCACTAGGACCCCTCCTTGCTGGGTTTGGATCTCTGATGACTCGACTGGTGTCCTAACAATATTTCATCATGCAAACATATTTTGAATAACTTCAAGGATTGAATAATTGGAATGTTGGACTTTGTAGGCGAATGTAAAAGTAYTTTCAGAAACAGATGAGGCTTAGTTCAGACCTTCAACAGTCATCTGAAGCTCAACTCTTGGCATCCAAGGCCTCACAGACAGAGATTGATGGCACTTATAGAGATGGTATACTTCCATTAGTTTGAAAGTAAGCTAATGGAAAAAGTATTTTAACATGTAGGGGAAACCAAGTGCCTCTAAGGATTGAAGATTTCCTTTTTCTTATTTTCCTTTTTTTTTGGTTGGGGGGATTCTTAGATAATGAAACTAAACTGATATTTAATCATTCACTAACTAGCCGTACAAGTGAAATAGCCACAGATGCAGCATACAGTTGTTAGATTTTAAATTTGATCAAGGACTGAGCACTGGTTAGAGAATGGATGAGAACCACCAGACATTTGTGCAAAGCAATGTATGAAAACACATGTTTTGGCTACAAGGATGTTTCACTCCTTTCTTTTTTAATCAGTATTTTGCTCCTTTTTTCTTAACAAAACTGCCTTCAGAGTTACCTTTGTGGACGACAATGCCAAAGCACCTGAGGTTGCATGATCAGAAAATACAGATTTGATAGCGTTGGCTTCTATCATATCACCTGCAGAGGTAAGATACTTTAGCAATATGGAATTGCACCTAAATCAATTCCTATGGATTTCAATTAACCAAATTTCACCAGTTCATAGTATTATCATGCATCAGCTTGTAAGGAACCAAAAAAAACACCTAGAGGTGTGGATGTAGCATGAGCATTTATATAATCCACTTGATCAAGATGAAGACCAGACTGCAATCATTGAAAGAAAGAAAATGACTTACTTCAGTACACCAGAAAGAAAGCTGCATATACATATATCCATAATTTAAGAAAAGACAGTTGCTTGTAGAACAATAAAATTATTGCTATCTATAACTACCTAGTTAGTTTTCAGGGTTGCATATTGTGTACCAAAGATTTTCTTCAAAAACACTGTTTGTTTACAAAAAGCAACCAGTTCAAAATCATTTGTTTTTGTTTACCTGCTTTAGTGCATGTGTCATGGCTAAAATCGCACCTCTCCCATCATTGTGTGGCTGAGTAATGTGATATGCATCACCTAGAAAATATAATTGTCCAGTTAAGAAACTAGTTGAGAATACTATTCACAACTATAACCATATTTGTATTCCAAAAAAAAAAAACATATTTGTATTCAAAAAGAGGACCTGACAACCCATAGCCTCGAATCTCTGCATAAATTTTTGCTCCTCGTTCTTGTGCATGCTCAAGTTCCTAGTTCATGACAGAACAGTATTATAATTATTTTAAACAACAGCAACAGCCTCAAGATGTTAAGCCACAGCCTATTTTTACCAAGAATGACAAAATGCAAGATTGCTGAAAAGAAAAGGTTAGACTAGAAAAAAGTTGAAATGAAAGAACTTGGCAACAATTATATGAATGTTCATTTTCAGACATTTGGGGTTCCTTATCACAAACAAAAACAAGGTCAAATAGGACAAAGCTTTATTGTAATTCATACCTATGCTGTTTCCTGAACCTTTTTGGGTGAAAGAAATACTAGAATATATGGAAACAAGGCTAGTTCAGAAGAGGTACTTTTTAGAACTATCAGCCAGCTTCAATCAAGGTGTCAAGGCAATTCTGGGTCATAGAGGGTACCTAATCACCTAGGTGATAAGAATTTTATAAAATAAAAAACTATATTTTACACCTGTGGGAGAGACATCCAATTTTACAGTTACAATGGGTCTTCACCAAGGCTCAGACTTAGTCCTTATTTATTTGAACTAATCATAGATGAATTGGCTAAACATATCCAGAAGACCAGAAGGAGGTTCCAATTGTTCTTATTGTTTCCTGATGGCATTGTATTAATTGATGAAACTAACAAAGGATTAAATGCATAATTAAGTTTATGGACAAATACATTAGAAACAAAAGGTTTTAAGATAAATAGGACCAAAACAGAATATGCTATGTAAATTAAATAATAATAGGAGTGCAAACAAGTGTACACCTAGGATTGGATACCAAGAGGTAAATCAATTTTACCTTTTTCGTTACCTTGGTTCAGTAATTAATAACAAGGGAGAGAATGAGGAGGATGCCACCCACTGAATTAAAGCAAGATGGACAAATGGAAGGTTGCATCCGGAGTATTATGTGATAGGTGAATTCCATTTACATTTAAAAGGAAGGTTCTATAAAACAGTTGCAAGGCCAACAATGCCATATGGAGCAAAGTGTTGGGCAGTCAATAAACATGTCCAAAAAATTAGTGTGGTTGAAATGCATATGCTGAGATGGATGATTGGAAAAACTACAAAGGATAGGGTCTCCAATTGGTGATAAAATGAGAGAAAGTAGACTAAGATGCTTTCACACCAATTGCCTAGATGACCATCTACAACACCTGTAAGAAGTAATCTATTGCAAGTTGAAGGGACTAGAAGGACTAGTGGCAGATATAAGGACACGGGTTATTGATCAAAAAAATAAAGGACATGGGTTGAAGTAGTAGGAAATAATTTAAGCACTCATAATTTTAACACTGGATATGGCACTAAACATCATGATGATGATGACAATGACAATGATTATGAAAGAACCACAGTAAGGATTGAATTGTATTAGCCTCAGAAAGCCCAAAAGACCAATCTGGACTAATTTAGGGCTGAGCCTGAACCTAAATCCCAGACCTGAGGTGCAGGCCAAGCTGGGCTCAGGCTTATGTGACCCTCATACTAGGGGGCATGCCCAGCCTGGGCTTGGCCCATGATCATTCTTACTGTCCACAGAAGAATAACCAAGATTAGACCCCCAGCAAGGAAGCACTCTAGATTTAGGAAGAAAGACGATAAAGGTTGCTATTGGAACATACAGTAGAATGATATCACTTAAAGAAATAAGTAGAGGGAGATAGAGAGAAAGAGAACAATGCATGGACATAACTAGAATGCACTCAACTAAACTTTTATTCATCAAATTGAATCAACACAAGGGCTTCTATGTTTACAAATGAGAAACAATTCCTAATTTCTTTATAACAAAGACAAATACATATATAAACCTAAGCACATTCAAATATGGACTTTCACTCCTAAACCAACTCTAAATCCACACTACTAATCTTATTAAAACTAAACAACCCAAATAAACTCCAAGACAGAGCCCAAAAAATTAAAATTTTCAATCATGTCACATAATAAGACCTCATTAACTGAATGGCACTAATAAACTACTTTCAGATGTAAAAGGTCTTGGTCTCATTGGATAGATAATCTAATGACATCACAATCTAGTAAAATGGACAAGTTTTGGCCCCTAAATAGGCTGAAAGAAAACTGAGGTGATTGCATCATAACCTTTCCAAAATTATATAAAGCTCTTTACTAAAATTCTAAACTACTTTTGCCCCTTTAAGACAGCTCTATTCCTAATACACTAGCAAACTAGAAAATAACTTCTAGAAAACTTAAATTAACCAAAAGTTGAATCACCCAAAAAATAACAAAATGCAGTGGGTGCACAAAACTATAAAGAAAATTGAGGTGATTGCATCTTAACCTTTTCAAAATTATATAATGCTCTCTACTAAAATTCTAAACTAATTTACCCCTTTAAGACAGCCCAATTCCCAAGACACTAGCAGAMTAGAAAATAACATTCAGAAAATTTAAATTAACCAAAAGTTGAACTACCCCAAAATTACAAATTGTAGTGAGTGCAGAAAACTATAAAGATTTGATTTATTCTTTTGAAGTTTCTTTCCTTTGTTCCACACCTGCACCAACATGTAGCAGTTACAGGACTCCAAGTATGCCTTTTTCCTAAAAATGCTGAACAAATGCCTTTCACATTCACCACCCATAAAATGTTAATGCAAGTTTAACCAACACAACTGTTGTAACCAAATAACTAAACCAAGATCCTTTTTTACACTTTCAAGGTTACATGAACATCAGATTATTAACTCTTACAGAAACATGCATTTGTGCACAAGATCTTCTACCACATCAATGGATCTGACTCAATTTGTGTATATTTGATGAGATAAAAGACAACTTTATTCACTGCCTGGTGAAAGCATGCCAAAACTCACCTCCAATACCATAACACCAGAACCCTCACCTATCCTGTATTTCGAGGAAAATGATATGTTGGCAACAGAAAATAACCAAAAAAAATCAAGCCAACAAAAACAGGAAACAATTTAGAAGGGAATAAATTGAGTATTAGGAGGAGTTCCATAACTGCTTCAATAGGAGGCGAAAGCAGAAGCGGAAAAGTTTCCAGATTTAAAAATGTCTCATTCAGCATTTGAGCAACTCAAGAGGCTATTTGATAATAGCTAAAGTCACTAAACTGAATGACTTATCATTTTGCCTTTTAGTATATAAAACAATCAAACAATAAAATATTCAAGGGTATAGTAATCGACCCAACTTCAGACTCAGCCTTTAAGAAGCAAAAAATTGCCTTAATAACTTGTTCACTAAAAGGCAAAGCAATAAGCCAATCAGTTCAGCCACTTCAGCTGTTATTAAATAACTCCTTAATTGCAGGACAATGAAGGGATGAAGCACAGCATTGAGGTGATTATTTTATCCCTAAAATATACCTGGATTTAAGTCATTTTTAAGTTTGGAATCTTTTCCACAACCATTTCAGCCATTACCAAACACCACCTTAGTACTTGTGCACAAAAGATAAGTCCTGAAACACAAAAATTGGGCACTCATAACATGGGTAGCATGCACCCACATTGGATAGGTCATGTTTGAATTTTGATAAACATTTACCTAATATTTAACAGATAAAAACATTTACTTCTGTTGGCAAAAGAGGGAGATAATATACAAAATTCTTCAGGTATCTTTTGTTAAAACTTAAAGACATTTTCTATGATACCGGAACATATGAAACCTGAAGAACTTTATCCAATCAAAAACATATGTGAATTTGAACGAATGCCGGTTGATTGGTTACCAATTGGCTGATACAGGTTGATTGGTTGCCAGTTTTTTAGTTACCATACCTTTTTGGTATCATGGTTGGACTCTTCTTAAAATCATTTTTCCTTTTCTTCTTTTTCTCGAGGGGAAAGGAGATTGCTGAAGAAATGCTTTTATACCTCCTGGAATTTTAACAAAACTTTTTGTCTTGTTCCTCTGACATTATTTTGAGAACCTTTCCCCCACCCACCATGGGCAATTGGTAGCGACCCTTGGTAGCAACTTGCCTAAACCAGATGTAGGTGATAAAATCCCAGCCTAGCAAATGGTTACCTAAGCATTGTATTTTGTTTAAAGCATTGTATTACTATTAGTAATGCCTGGATCATACTATGGTGCCCATATTTTGTGGTTAAGGATGGTATGAGTGTTGAAATTCTAGACTTCCCCTTAAGARTATTACACAAATCCATCTCGACCACAATCAAAAGGTCGTGAAGCTTCTTGTGGGACAGAATTGCGCTTTGTACTCAAGGCCCTTAACCTGCATATTTAAAAAAAAATATTTGATTCAAGAGTAAGAAAAAGAAATAACATAAAAAAGTGAAGAATTCCAGAAAAAGAAGGAAAAAAGAGTGGTGGAACATGGAAAGCAGAATAATTTCAACATTGAGGATGTTATGTGCCCAACAAATTAGCATACAGATAAGCATAGTCTGATAACTAAATGAATGTTCTTTTTGCAATAAAGCAAGCTTTTGCAGCATGATCAGAGAGATAGATGAAACCAATAAACCACAAGCATGAGGGAAACCATGCTATGACATCTCTTAGAGAAACACTCGTAACTTTTTTTCTGTAGTGCACAACATAAAAGAAACAAGCCCAACACTTTTTCAACAATATTGTTAACCACGCCAGATAAGATGCTAATTTCTTTGTAGAGAAATCAGTGCAAGATAAGTTATTGACTGGTGCAGCAAGGTTATAAGATAGTTTCCTGCTCAAAATGTGAAGCTGGTAGATTTACATACCCTTCCTTCTGGGTGATAAAGCTCGATTCTAATGGATGTTCTATGGTGATTCCTCCCTTCCACCATAGGCATCACGTGCATGGATAAAATGGATGAATTATAGCATATTACAGCTTGTGGAGCCATCAGTGATGCAATTAGCGCCTTGGCTTCTACCCTTCTTTAATTTCTCAATGTCTCTTTGTCTATTGTTATCTACTTGCAGGTTACCACAATGAAGGTGATTTAAGAAATAAAATAATTAGGGCATCTAGTACAAGCCATAGTTGTTTTGCTTTGCATTCCTCCCTAGGGCAATGATTTAGCAAGCTCCTTATACAAGGAAGGGGGTGTTAAAGCAGAACTGTATAAAGGGTTTGGAAACCCACTTCTATATTGAGGTTTTAGGGCTTACCCAGTATGCCGACTATTTTTGTGACCCTTCTACTTCCCCTTTCTTCCCCAATGTAATCTTCCTCTTTTTTTTTTGTTTGTTTCTAATAAAATATATCATTTTATCAAAAGATATTGAATAACGAATCAGTATTATGCACTATGATAACTATAATGTATCAAAAGTAGTAAATATTGGAGGAAAAGCACAAAAGACCAGTTTGATGAAAAAAAAAAAAAAAGAGATAAAAAGAACACCAAAACAGAACTCAAGGGACTCGCCATGAAGGATGGAAATGTAAAACATTTGTATCCAGAGAAGATATAAACCAGTGAATCAAAAGAGTTTATACACATATGGTACAAATAACAGAAAAGTAATGCAATTTCTGGACAATCATGGACTAAACTGTGCATCTTTGTTTACTTAAAATAGTTCATAGAGAAGATCAAACAAGATAGAAGGGGAAAAACAACTAAGGATCAATTCTCTAGTAAAGATCTCTTGAAAAGCACAAAAAACAAGTAAAATAAGATGGTAGATTAATCAATTTTTGTTACCTACAAAACCCTGCTATTGATAAAGCGTCAATGCTAGACTCTGTTCCTCCAGCAATCATAATATCCGCATCTCCAAACTGAATCATCCTTGCAGCATCACCAACAGAGTGGGCACCAGTAGCACAAGCTGTTACTGCAGCATGATTTGGTCCCTAGATTCATGTGCAAGACTTAGCAAAGTGTTTTTTGCATTTCAAAAAGGTACATCAATTATAAAGACTTAAAAATGAAGGCAATGAATCCTGCATGCTATTTACCAAGTCATTGCTCCCATAGATTAAATTGGCCGAACACATCCTGTAGGAGGTATCCCACAAACAATGGGCCAACCTATCTCACTTAACCACCCTTTTACAGACCTTGCCACAACTCTTAGAAATGATTCTCCAAGCCATCCATGTTTTAGAACTCATTAAATTATCAAAATTATTGGGAGTGTTCTATCACCATGAGTCATTCAAGAAATGGAACAGTAGCTGGATGGTCCCAAGCAATAAGTTGTAATTTGTGCCCGCTCTCATCAACAAAGACATGTTATATTATATATATGAAAGCAATGCATAAAATCAAGTACCTTGAATCCATATTTCATGCTCACGTGGCCTGCTGCCATGTTGATCAATATTCGTGGAACAAAAAAAGGACTAAGCCGGCGTAAATGCTGTTTTCAAAAAGCAGAGCAATCAGGTTATACTGTTGCAACAGCCATGTTGGTCACATAAATGCCTGTCATTAAGACCATGATAGATGCATCATTTCAAATAAAGAGAGATATTAATGCAAAGTCTTTATGGGTAGTAAATAAATGAACCAACCAACCTTCTCACAAACCATTTGGGATGCATTCAAAATGTCACTGATGCTACCAATGCCCGCACCAATTGAAACACCCTGGTGATCTTCAAGTTAGAAATGTAAAAGTAACCAAGATCACTAAAAAGATCTGAATAATATTCAATGATTACTAATTATCAAAAAAATATTCAATAATTACCGTCCTTTCTTTCTCCTTTTCAGTGGGAATCCAGTTTGCATCTTTAAGAGCTTCCTCAGTTGAGCATAGTGCATATGCTATGAACCTTGCAACGGATCTATGCTCCTGGGGGTAGAGGGTTACTTAAGTTTACTAAACATTTATGATTGTGAAACATCAAAGACTTTTGGTTCAGAAAATAAACTACAAAAGTCCCAAGAATTTGTTAAAGAAGATCTACTGTTCAATGAGCCTTATATTCAACCAAAAAAAACATTCCCAATTCACACCATAGATTATTGAGAATTTAATAATATTGAGGAAAGACAAAATTGATCTAGAAAACATAGAAAAGCCTAGAAACGGCTGATAGATGTATAGAAAGATTTGCTGTTTCTTTTGCCATTGCCCACCTTCATCCCACAGTCTCAGTTTCTCTTGGCGTTTCCAATCCATTTTTTAGCATTTCTTATCTGCTTACAATTTTCTGGATTTAGTAAAATATTTAGGGGAAATCCCCATTTCTCTCTCTCTCTCAACATTCCCAAACCCATTCTCATTTCTCTCCTTGATGACCATCAGTGAGTGAAAATATAATTAACAACAACAACAAGAGCCTTTAAAGGACCACCCAATGTTGGTGCCGGTTAACTGGGTCTTAGGAGGGGTAAACTGGCTGCGGACCTAACTTTTTGCATCTATTGTACGAAGTGAACAGTCTCAGATTCAAACCCTTATTCTCACGCTTATCAGCACAATGACCCCTAATAGTGATAACGAGAGGATCATCTGTTCAATATTTTCCCCGATGGTCAATAGAAAAGGCGGATGAATTGCACTAGTGTAAACAGTTAAAGTGTGAACAGATAAAGAGCTCGATCTTAGGGAGATACAGCTCTTATGAGTAAGGCTTTGGGAAATAAATTTTAAATTTTGAAGAAAATAAAAATTCTACTAAACACATCTGACATCTCTTATTTTTCAAAAGCCCAAAAGACCACATCTCTACACGATGTCCTCCAAGAGCACTATTTCCAAACTACTTCCGAAAAAGAATAAGAAGCATGTCATCTAATAAATAAAGAAATTTCCAGACATTAGAGACTTGAGAATGAAAACTGAAAAATTAGTGTTTTATGACAAATAAATGAGCTCCATCCAACCTTACAGATTACGCTTCGACCAAACTTATATTTGAACAATGGGCAATTTACCTTGGAATTTAACCATAATTCTTCATTAAATTCACCAGCATTGTCTCCACACGGCACCATGGCAGCCACTTTGGATGTCAATTGGTCGAATGTATGCAGTTGCGTTTCCCTGTCAAGTACATCCAGCTTGAGATCCTCAGGCGTAAGTGCCCTTATTCCGCAACCCCCCTCTACAAGTCGCTTCCACGTAGTCTCCACTCCGCAACCAAGCGGAGTCACCATTCCTAAACCTACAAGTTCCATTCCAATTCACAACTAAACCATCTAAGGGGAAAAAAAAAAAAAAAAAACGTCCCAAAGCCACAACGAATGAATCAAAAAGAAGCATCTTAACTTTAAGAACTAACGATAAGGATTTACCAGTAACAACTACTCTTCGTTGAGGAGCACGAGGAGGGGGACCAAAAACTTGAGATACAGATGATGAAAAGGATCTTTTGATTCGGAAATGAGATCGGAGAAATTGTGACCAGTAACTCTTCACCATCACTTTGGAAACTCGAATTTAATGCGAAGCCACAGTAGCTCCCAGAGGAAGCCAGCAACCGTCGCAGTAGTATGACTTCTTTGATTTCCGAGTGTCGATGACAGAACCGCAACCGCGCGCGTTCACAAGTCACAAATACCAATTTGGTGTGCAACTCGGGTCTCGGGTGGGTTTGGGCGGGTTGAAGACTTGAAGATCAACCCGGGCCCAACCCGAACTTAACCTAAGACAACTCGATTTCGGCCGGTATATATATTTTTATAACCATCTTCTATTAGGCTTTATGGCCAACGCAAGAATGAAATTGATTGAAAATATTAACAAATTTCATTTATAAATGTGTGCGTGTATATATATATATATATATGGGTCCAACTATGATATCAAAAGGATAAATTTCTTAAATATTGTCTTATGGTTTAGTTAATTGATTAACACTATCTTTATTGTTTATATATTGTCTTAAAGTATCTTTAAGTTTTCTAACAATTAACATTGTCGTTAAGTACTTACAAAAAAGTGAAATGCCGTTAAGTAATGCTTCAATTCTTCAAAGGAGAGCTGGCGTTCTTTAGTCCATGAAAGTCTTTCAGCTTCTTGATAGCCCAAAAGAAAGGAAGATAGCGGTCGGCCAACTTCGACATAAAGCAGCTGAGGGCGACCACTCGGCTGGTGAGTCTTTGGGGCTCCTTAACCAACCAAGGTGGTGCCATGTCTAGAATGGCTTGGATCTTTTCCRGGTGGATCTCTATGCTCTGTTGTGTGATGACAAAGCCTAAGAACTTGTCCAAGGTGACGTCGAAGGCACACTTGCTGGGATTAAGCTTCATCTTGAATCTCCACAAAGTGTTAATGGTCTTGGGCAGGTCCGAGGTGTGYTGGTCGGCCTTCAGGCTTTTCACCACCATGTCATCTACATAGGCTTCCCACATTTGACAATCAATTAGGGTAGTGATGTAGTGTACCTCTCAGATGAAGCTGACGTCGAGTAGCTTGTCAACATCTTCTCCTATAGCCTTCCAACACTCYAGTGCAAAGTTCATCTTTCTTTGTCAAACTAGCCTAGAGCTCGGGTCCATGCTCAGCTTGTGAGTAATGACTGAAGGGTCAATACCAGGCATGTCAACGGCAAACCAAGCAAAGATGTCGGCATTAGTTATGAGGAAACTTACCAGTTCAGATAGGCTTTCCAGGGAAGGTTGGACCCGACGTGGACTGTCTTCTTGGACTTGGCCTCATCTAGGGGGACCGAGACAAGGTCCTCGACTGGCTGGCCTTGGCTCGTTAGTTCCTCCCTGAGGTCAAGGCCCTCCCTCAAGTGGCAGGGTTTCTTTATTCTTGCCCTTCAGTGTTGCCACATAACACTGGCAAGCAACTTGCTGGTCCCCCTGAACGACTCTGATGCCGTGTTCGGTGGGGAACTTGAGGGCGAGATGTTAGGAGTAGACGGATGCCTTGAGTGCATGGAGAGTCAGCCTCCCTATGATAGCGTTGTAGGGGGAGCCGATCGTTACGACCAGGAACTCGTTCATCCTCATCACATGCCGAGGCTCTATTCCTACCGTGATGGGTAGGGGTGATTCTTCCTTCCGGCCTGACCACATTGCCGGAGAAGCCAACGAGGGGGATGTCAACCAGCTTCATCTTCTCGAATGCGTCATAGAAGAGGAAGTCGGCCAAGGAGCTATTGTCCACTAAGATCCTCTTCATCATGAAATTTTCTATGACGGCCGAGATCATGAGCGCATCGTCATAGGGGATTGTGACCCCCTTCAAGTCCTCGTCGGTGAATGCGAGGGCTTCTTCCTGCTTCAGCTTCTTGGGGGCCGGCCCCCAGATGTTCAACTGCCTAAGCCTTGCGGCCCAAGGCTGAGCCCCCGGTGATGACGTCTATGATGCTGACGAGTTATTGGTGTTATTTCTACTAGGGGCGTACTGCTTAAGGTGGCCATGRCAGATGAGGGACTCTATCTCGTTTTTCAACTTGTAGCAGTCCTCGGTGTTGTGGTCGGTGCCACGGTGGTACTTGTAGTACTTCTTTGGGTTTCCCCTCTTAGGGTTCCTCTTCATCTTATCGGGCCACTTCACGTACTCCTCTTTCTCGACTTGCATGAGGATTTGCGTGCAGGTTGAGTTGAGCGGTGTGTACTGGTTGTAAGCCAAGGCCGAGGCCGGTGGCTTTTTATGGTCCCGGTTGTTGTTGTTGTTGTGGTTGTCTCCATTTCTTCTCTTTTTCTCTGGGCCTCTGTGGGGACGGTCGGCTTCTCCTTCCTAACAGTCATCAATTGAGGCCTCCTCTGCGGCGATGTACTTCTGGCCTTCTTAAAAAATTCTACCTTGGACTTCGGTGGGGTCTTGGCTACCAAGCACTTGAGGGCCGAGCCGGGCAGGAGGCTGTTGATGGCGGCATGCATGGAGACCATGGAGTCGAGGTCTCAGACCTAGAGCTCCTCTTTCTTGAATCAGTCAATGTAGGACCGCAGGCTCTCACCACGCTTCTGCTTGACTGCCATCAGGCTCTCACCGCGCTTCTGCTTGGCTGGTTGAGGCCTTTGCTCGGCTTTCTTTGACTTGACGGAGCTCATCTTTGATGGCTCCAAGCTATTCTTGAAGGTCGATGATTTTTTGGTTGAGGGGTGCCTGGGCCCTGCCCTGGTCTTCTCGGACTCAGTGGGTGTCGGCCTGGACTCCCGAATACTCTAATGTGGGCCCGTTCTTCCTAGCTCGCCTGTCATTTAGAAGGTCTTGGAGGTCTGAGATGCATGAGGGAGAGGCACGACATCGGCCTTCGGCCCTCAAGAGGGGGGCTGTGGTGACCTGAATGTCTGCCATCATCCCGAGGATTCTCTCTTCGGCGGTGATGATGTTGTTCTTGGTCTCAATGATGGTCACAAGACTGTACTGATTGTTCCCCTCTTCGACTAGGGGGTTGTGCGGTCCTCGATGGCTAACTAGCACGTTGGTTGTTGCCAGACTCTAAGGAGTCGGCCCCATTAGGGTTGACTGGGCTGAGGGCTAAGGGGTCCAGAGATACTCTCTCGCAGCTATGCCCCAGGCTCCCAACAGGGCAGCCGCCTTGGGGGCGGCCTCTTGCCGGGCACCCCACCTCGTCCAACCTTCGGCCGAGGTCGTCGAGCCTATCGAGGACCATTTGGTGTTTCTGGCCATTTCGGCTGAAGCTTAGGCGTAGGAGTTAATTCTTTGAAGTGTCAAGAGTGTAGTTTAGGGAAGTCTTAGCAACGTTCCCACAAACGGCACCAATTGTTGATGCTCAACATATGCTGAGGTCAACACTGTCAATTCGCTCCTAAGTCGAGGTGAGATCAAGTTGCCCGAGGTCCAAGGTGGTCGAGGGCGGGTAGATCGGCCTTGCAAAGAGTGGAGAGAGAACACGTCAGAGGCCTCGGGTTGATACCAGAGGCAASGACTCCGGTGGTCAAGTTAGTACGAGGTTGGTATGAGATGACCAAGATCTGAGGTATGAGGATTCAAATGAGGTCGCAAGGGAGAATAAGAGTTCTCAAGTGTAGCTCAAGACTCTTAAGTTCTGGATCCCTTAGCTTGAGGGGGTCACCTCCTATTTATACTAGAGGCTACCTAGAGGCAGACGAGCTCAGACGAATTGACCGGGGAGGAAGACTTCCTCCCAAAAATCACTACAACAAGGGTAGATTTTAGACAATTGCCGAAGAACTTAAGTGTACTTTAAGACAATATGTAAACAATAAGAATAGAGTTAGTCAATTAGTTAAACCATAAGGGTAGTTTAAGAAATGTGCCCATACTAAAAAGATAATTAAAAAAAGTTAGATTATTTAAATGTTTTAAAGATTTAATATGTGATTTGGTGAGTCTCATTTGAGGCTATCAAACCACAAAAATAAATAAATAAATAAAATAGAGTTTTGGTCAAAATAATATATCAATACTTTGAACCTTGATAGAAGTAATGATGACTCGGGCAACTCAGTGGTTAGAAACCTAGAGAAGGAAGTGCAGCAATTGAAAAAASAGTCTCATTTTTTAGACTGGTGCTTTTCCCGCATATGTCACTGAGCTGACAAGTTAGTCAACGAATTTTAAGCAATAGGGGATGATTCGATAGGTAGCGACTCGGGTAAGAGACAAAGGAYGAAAATAGAGATTAGATTCTAGGATGGTGATTCAGGTTTGAACTAGGGAGTGGATAAGATTTTTTTAAATGATATGGGTCTAGATTATGGGGGACCCAAATGACTCGCTATTTTGACCTATAGGCGTTTTTTGGCTCAAACCTATGTATATATAACTTGCTCTTTTGATACTTCTTGGTTGATTTTTATGAGGGACTTATAGGAGAGTAGGAGAGTAAAGGGAACAAAGGCTTCTCCTCAATTGCAAGCATGTGTTTTCCTTTTTCTAATAAAGTGGGCGGTGGTGGGTAACTCATAACAGCCACACAGGGGCCATGAGAATTTGCAACTACAACTACCGGGGGAGTAGTCGACCTCTGGTAGTTCAAGGCCTGAAAGACTTAGTTTCTAGGTGGAGTCCCAATTTGATCTTCCTTAGTGAAACTAAGACTTTTTTGACTCAGACTTCTAAGTTAGTTTCCCTCCTCCGTTTCCCAAATTTTTCTATTGGTACTTTAAATGGTCTAGCAAGTGGGCTTCTTAGTTTTTGGAAAGTTGGTTTCAATATTTTTATTCATTTTGCTTCACAAAATTACATTATTTTGAAAATGATGATAGGTCCTACCTCCTCTCCGTGGTTACTTGTTTGTATGTCTGGGGAACCAAATAAAAAGCTCATATGAGCCTTTTGGGAGACCATTTATAAGTGTATTCCTAAAGTTGAACTCTAACCTATCTCTAATTCGAAAAGTTTGGGCCCTCATGGTGATTCCTATGTATAGGTTGTTCCTTTGGTGGTTAATGTGAGGCTTTGTTATTACCTCTGAGATCATAAATCTTAGAGGCTTTACTTGTTCTTCCATGTGTTTCTTTTGTAAGTCTAAAAATGAATCTCATCTCCATCTCTTCTTTTTGTGTCCTTTTGCAAGAGCAATCTAGTTTTCCTATCCTCTGAGTTTCATAACAAATTTGGTTGCAAATTCTAT